TTGTAGCAACATTTCAGCAGAATCTCATCTGCCATCATCAGGCGTCTATATTGCGTTCGTCTGTGAGTCAGACTTTCACAGCCGTTTCTGTTTTAAATTTGGTGCTAGTCTACTGCTGTGCCAGAATGGTTTTTTTTTTCATCCTGATTGGTTGGGTGTCTTGGTCTGTGTTTATTGCTCTTGGAGTTTGCTGTGTTCTGCTTGATTGATGTTTCTAATATCTTCTGTCTGTTTTGTGGCTTTTTTTGTGTCTTGATTGGCTGGCAACATTGTGTTCCTATATTGGAGGCTTTTAGTGCAGCTTGGCTCCAAGTAAATGGAAGGCTAATATTTGTTAGGAAGCTAGGTTTCATCTGGGTGCCTGGTTGGGGTGTGTTTGAGCTGGAGGTATCAGGGGGGATCTGTTTGTGCCCAGGTGTTTGCCTGGCTAGTGGTGTGGAGATTTTTTTTGTTTGTGAGTGCAGGCTTCCAAATAATTGACAGTATGGTGGAATCATCTCTTCTATTCATGTTTTCAGGTCGTTTTTCAATCTCTATGGTTTCTCTAATAATTCTGTGGCTGGGGTTTTCTATAGTGGCTAGGGTTTTGGTGCCATTGAAGTTGATGCTATGACCTGCGGCTTTCATGTGTTAGACTAGTGAGGAAGTGTGTTCCAGCTTTTTTACTGCATTTTTGTGTTCATCCAGGCGGGTACTTATTCTTCTATTGGTCTGTCCAATGTATATGGCCGGGCATGATGCACAGGGGACTTCATATATGCCTTGGTTTTCAAGGTCAGTGTTATCTTTGGGGTTTCTTAGGATGGCTGCTATTTTTCTGTCTGTTTTGAAGGCAGTCTTGATGTGATGCCTGTGTAGTATCTTACTGATTTTGTCTGTAGTACCTCTTTTGTAGGGCAGGACAGCTGTTCCATAGGTCTGTTCATCTTCTAGGTCTCCATTATGTTATGATACTACAGACAAAATCAGTAAGATTACAGCACAAGATCCAGGATATCTCCACAGCAAAACTCACAAGGCCATCACACAGCCCATTATACCAACATCAACTCCATCAACCAATCAAGAGGCAGCAGCGCAGCCAACCAGCCCAGCACACCAGCCCCCACCACCAGTATTTATAGAGAGGCGGCAGCTCCGATCACACACTGCTTGCACTGGCATGAAGCAGAAAGCACCAGCCTGAGGATGGCGAGTGGGACCTCGCCGAAATGTCACCAAGATACTCTTAATCTTACACGGGGAAGGACCCGAGCACACCTAGACCTACATACCTGTACCAGTGAAAATCTACGAAAACAAATATATATATATATATATATATATATATATATATATATATATATATATATATATATCTGCAATCTCACATCACTCTGAGAAGCAAGAGCCGAAGACAGAAGCCTGAAGATGATGAATGAGACTTCATCGAAACGTTGCCTAGATACTTCGAATCTTACGCGGGAGAAAACCCGAACAACCAAAGATCCACATATTATATTTTATATATATATTCTGTCTCACCTGTGACCATGAAGTGAGAGTCCAAGCCTCCAAAGGAATATAAATAAACAGAAAGGACCAGGAACAACAGAGTTAAATTCCTTTGACTGGAGGAATCCTTGGCAGTCTTCCAAAAGCTGCCTGCCAAGTCCTATAACAAACAAGACTATAAATCAAGAAGCAAATGCCGCAAGGAGAATTTGTCCAAGCTGCTATCACAAATAAACAAATTGTCCTGAACGACTATTCCGAGCTAACACGCCCTCTTTTATTTCCTGAGGGGCGTGTCAGTCTCTCAAGTCAGTTCCTGATTTGACCTTTCCTTTTACGTTGCATTTCCCGCTTCTGCCTGCGTCTTTGCCTTGCATCAAACCAGCATTCCTTGGCTTGATCCTGAGCCAAGGACTCCGGCACTCTCTCCTGATTATCTGCCGACACCTGAGGCACAACCAGGGAGGAAGGTCCCGGGGAGGAAGATGATTCTGAATCCTCCAGCAATGCAGGCTCAAACCTCAGAGCCAAGTCCTCCTTCTCCTAGCTCAAGTCTGTGTCTTCCAGCAAGGCAGGCTCAAATCTCGAAGCCAAATCCCTCTCTCCCTCATTACTTAAGTCTGTATCTTCTAACAAGGCAGGTTCAGACCTCCGAGTCACAACACATACATATAAAATCATGTGATAGGATTATATATATGCTACATTATATAATTAAAATATTAATATGATTAATATGATTGTACTAGAGATAGTCCTCAACTTATGACCACAATGGAGTCAAACATTTCTGTTGCAAAGTGAGAAATGTGTTACGTGACTCTTGCCCCATTTTACAACTCTTCTTGCCACATTTGTTAAATGGATCACTGCAATTGTTAAGTTAGTAACACGGTTGTTCAGTGAATCTAGTTGCTGGTCAGAAGGTCGCCAGAAGCGAATCCCATGACTCTGGGACATTGCAACCATCATAAATGTGAATCAGTTATCAAGCCTCCCAATGTCAATCAAGTGACTATGGGGAGGCTGCAATGGTCATAAGTGTGAAAAATGGTCGCAAATCACTTTTTCCAGTGCCGCTGTAACATTGAACCATCACTAAGTGAAGTGTTGTACGTCAGCATGTATACGTTAATAATTGTATATTATATAATTTATATATTAATATAATTATATATTAATATAATACTACTATACTAGTTGAGAGCGTGGTGGCTCATGAGGTTAGAATGCTGGGCTGATGATCAACAGTCTCGCGTTCGAGCAGAGTGAGCTCCTATCACACGCTCCAGCTCCTGCCAACCCAGTGGTTCAAAAGTACTATACTAATATAGTATAATAGCAATAGCAATTAAACTTATGTACTGCTCCCCAGTGCTTTACATCCCTCTCTAAGTGGTATACGGAGCCAGCCTATTGATCCCGCAACAATCTGGGTCTCCATTTTATGGACCTCGGAAGAATGGAAGGCTGAGTCAACCTTGAGCTGGTCATGGTCGAATTGCTGACAGTTGGCAGAATTAGCCTGCATTCTAACCACTGCGCCATCAGGGCTCCTCACGCTGTATTGTATACTCTATTATTACCTTGTTCTCAAATTGTAGTGTTGCAGCAATTCTTGCTTCCAAATCAGGACACCAGACCACGAAAGGTTGGAGAATACAGGTTTTTATTTGTGCACAAGGTTCAGAGCATTAGAATGGCAGATTCTGAACCCCTTGCTCTTCCTGAGGCGTCACTTTTATACATTTCATGACCTCAGCTTAGCCCGGGGCGTTACTTTGATTAAACTACACCAAAAAAGGAGAATAACATATATACCAAAAAAGAGAAATACATCTAATTACTCATTTTATCTTACACCATCTGTTATTTTCCATATCCACCTTTGTTTACTGTAATATGGTTAGTTCCTTGGTTCAGTGACCTTGAGGTTTTACACAATATTGTATTAAGCAAAGCTCTGGGGCATTGGGGACTTCTGCTAAATATAAAAGTGCTTTATGTGTAATTTTTCTACTGCTTCAGTAGCAGTTGTTGAAATTTCTTCATGATGTTGTTCAATACATCGGATTTAGCCTAAGTTTGTGATGGCAAACCTTTAACCTAAGTTCGTGAGGGCAGAACCATTTGTGCCGGCACACAAGCTGCAGGAAAACGTACCTCACTGCGCATTCGTGTGCCTCACAACTGATTTTCAGCCGGTTTTAGGCCTCTTTCAGACTCCCAGAGGCTTGAGGAAGGCTTCTGCAGGTTTTTCAGGACGAAGAGTAGGCCTGTTTAGTCACTTCCTGCTTTTCCAGAAATACTGGAAGTGATGAAACGGGCCTAGTTTTTGGCCTAAAAAGCCTGCAGAAGCCTTCCTCAAGCCTCTGGGAGGCCAAAAAGGGCCTCAAACCAGCTGAAAATCAGCTGTGTGGCACAGTGCAGGTTAGGGGGTGGCAGGGGGTGGGTGGGTAGGGATTGCACACGCATGTGTAGGAGGCAGGGGTGCGCATTGCCTTCTGGGTGCTGGCACATGAGCGTAAGCGTGCAAGTGCACGCACAATTTTTGGCACAGGAACCCAAAAAGGTTAGCCACCACTGGCCTAAGTTCTTAGCTACTTTATGAGCTTGTCTGAATGGTCCAAGTTGCTTATGTGGGTTGAGGATCTGCTTTTTCTTTGGCTGGTATATTTAGACTTTTTTTCTTATTGCAGGAGACCAAGAACAGCACGGGAACCAGGAAAATAGCCACCGGGTTGGGGCAACCTCTTCTTGGGCCTGGCCTAACCAAACATTCCCCGAAAACAGAGTTGGCCCCTTTGCCGGCAGCCTAGGACAGCGCCCATCAATGAATCAGCCTCCCAAAGCTGCCTCTGGCACGGATCAGGAAGGCAAAACGGCCAGGAAAACCATCAGCCGTCGAGGGCAGAAGAGATACTGGTGCTTTGTCTGCATCAAAGGCTTCCGGGACAAGGCGGATTTGGTAAGGCACGACCGGATCCATACGGGAGAGAAACCTTACACCTGCCCGGACTGTGGACGAAAATTCAGCTACACGTCCAGTTTGTACAAGCACCAGCTGATCCACAGGAGAGCGGCCAGCCTGAAAGGGAACCAATTCAGACAGATGACCGTAGACTACGATCCAGATGGTTTTTCAGCCAGCCGCGCAGCTCCCTTGGCCTGTTTTGAGGGCGGCGGGGGGTGGAGGAACGGAGTGAAGCTGTTGGCGACTGAGGTAAAACCACCCATGGAGGCCTTATCGGTAGGAAAGGCCGACACGCAATCAAACCAGTTCAGAGAGATGACCATAGACTATGATCCAGATGGTTTTTCAGCCAGCCCTCCCTTGGCCTGTCTTGAGGGCGGCGGGAGGTGGAGGAACGGAGTGAAGCTGGAGGCGACTGAGGAAAAACCACCGATGGAGGCCTTATTGGTAGGAAAGGCCGACATACAATCGAATGATTTCACTTTTGACATTTCAGTGACGTAGTTCTAAGCGGTCAGCTTCACTGTTGGGCACCCTGGTGCGTTTCGGACGGATCGGACTTTAGCACCCAGGAAATTCTAGCTTGAGCAGAGAAGAGAATTTTGGCTAGTTGATAAAAGCGATACACTTCAAACCAACCAGCTGAATCCACAGGTGGGTGGGTGGGTGTGTATACACACAAACCTGCCCCACCGCATGCTTCTGTATATATATATATATATATATATATATATCTGTACGTAAAGACTCTTTTTTATCTTTGACCATCATTACATTATTAATATTATTATTTTATGCACAATAATACTTCAGTGACCTCCATTGCAGTTTTCCTTTCTCCATTCCAATAAAAGTCTAAGCCAACTGTCAGGATTTTTAGACCCAAAGATTTCAGGAGGAATTAATACAAAAAAATTAATTGGGAAGCTGGACGGCTGTAATTCAATGTCCAGTTCCTAGAAAGGATAAATGGAACTTTCTTTCGAATCTCTCCTCTTTGGGGGAATCTGTTGAACCAGTTGTTTGGTGGGGAGGTCATGTGATCACTTTGCTCAACAACCACAATCCCAAACTAGTGGCGGTCATTAAGTGATTTTGAGCAGGGCTCCCCAACCTTGGCCACTTTAAGACTTGTGGACTTCAACTCCCAGAATTCCTGACCAGCTTTGCTGGCTGAGGAACTCTGGGAGTTGAAGTCCACT